CAAAATTATAAATTTCCTAATTTATCTATTGATTTGTGGTTAATATTGGTTCTCACATTTACCACAAACTAATTAGTTCTCATTTGATTAGGCCCCTATATATATATACATACATACATACATACATACATACATACATACATACATACATACATACATACATACATACATACATACATACATAGAGGAGCGATCAAATAAAAACCACTCCAATTTGTAAAAACCGTAAAAACTACTCTAATACATCGTTAATCTTATGAAATTCTTTCATGAAATTGTTGATCTTGTGAAATTGTTTCATATAATACTTTTTTTTGATGAAGTTGTTTCATATGTGGTTATGAAATTGTTTCATATACTACTTAATAAAATTTTAATGAAACCGTTTCATGTATTTCTCTAAAATTAAAATAATGAAGATGATAATATCCATAATTAACACCATCCACAATAAAAATAGTTAATCAACCTCTCATAATTACAAAAAAATGAACAAAATGAAAAATTATGATTGGTTGAATAAGGTTTTCACGGTTTTTACAAATTGAGTGGTTTTTATTTGAACCCACCCCTATATATATATATATATATATATATATATATATATATATATATATATATGCTTCCTTTGTAATCTTTAGTAGAGTAAACTTTGCAAGATTCATTTTCGTAATCATTTGAAGTTGAATACATTTGGAGCTTAAAATAATTCTCTCTCTACATTTTCTAATTATGCTTATTGTGATCTTGAATCATCAAGAATTGTATTGATTAATCTTTCTGGGATTATCAATTGGTATTAGAGTAGATTACAGCAGCTTAGAGATTGGATTGAATTGAATCGAACAAAATTGGATAATTGGACATTTCTTGACCGAACATTTTCTTGCTACTGTTTTGAATTGAAAACTCATAATTTGTTTGATTTTTAGTGTTTGTTTGACTAAATTGTATGCGATTTTTCATTTGAAGTTGTTTAGAATCATTCAATTTCATAATTGAATTGATTACAAGAATCAATTTTGAGTCTTTTGGTAATTCGTGTTCTTTAGTCATACATTGTTCTTGATTTTTTTTATTATCAAAATTGGTCAATTTGATCTGTTTTTGATAAAATTTTGGTATTGGAAACCTGTTTTTGAGTATCTTGCGAATCGATATGTGTTAAATATGTTCAATTTTGTGTGTATTTAAATATATGTGATCTTCATCGCTCGATGAATACATTCATCGAGCGATAAGAATCTTCATCACCTGTTGAATATCTCTTGTTGTCCAACTAGAAATGTTAATCGATAAAGTTTTAGGCGATAAGGAGTTTGATTAGAAGGCTTGTGCGATAATAAGTTTAATCGGTCAAGTGCTATCCGATTAGGAATTGAATCCGGTAAAAGATTGTCCGATAAGGTTGTGACCGATAAAGGTTTTGGATGATAAGTGTTTTGTGCGATAAGGTTGTGATTGATAAGCTGTTTTGATTGATAAAGATTTGTGTGTTGTCCGATAACTTGTTGGGAGATATATTTGTTGTTCGATAAGGAAGTTTTTGAAAGTTTTAAGTGTTGTCCGGTTAGCAAAGTGATAATCTGATTTCTAAGTTTTGAACTGTTTAAAGATCAAGTGAGATTAATCAATTTGAAGTGATAGAAATGGCTTTATGTTAGAAAGAGTGAACAAGAAACTGAAAGAGAGAGTTTTTGATTTGGAAAAGAAATTGAAAAAGGAACAAGACAAATATGTTGAAATGTTTTACAAGAACCATTCATATCTTTGCTAGGCCAAAAATATGGTTAAAGATGATGAAAAGGTTCATGAGGAAAAGAAGTTTTTGCTACAACAAATTGATGAATTTATGTCTAGAGGTTTTTCATCTGATTTCCAAGAAAGAAATGTTGAGCAGTTAAAGAAAAATTCTGAATTGACAACAAGAGTTTATGAAGCAAAGAAAGCATTGGATTCTGAACGAAGAGTTTTTGAGACAGAAAAGAGAAGAATAAATGAATTGGAAAGTTTATTGGAATCTGAAAGAAAAGAGTGAAGAAGAAAAGAAAAAGATTTCTGATCTGAAGAATAAAAAGGTATTGAATTATGAAAGAAAAGAACTTGAAAAGAAAAGAGAAAGGTTTACAGAGGTAGAAAAGAAGTTTGATACCGAATTGAAAGTAAGATTAAGGTTCTTGAGTGGAATAATACAGAGCTTTCAGAGAAAATATTTGAATTTGAGAAGATAATTATTCTGGAAAAAGCTAAATTTGAGATTGAGAAGAAAGAATTTGTGAAAGAATCTGAGAAGAAAAAGAGCATTGCAGCTAAGCAGAAGAATTTGGATGATGAGGGAAAGTTATTTGCTATTGAAAGAAAGAGTACTGCAAAAAAGAATGCTGCAATAGCTAAGGAGTTGACTGAAAAGATGAAATGGTTAGATGTTGCCTCAGATA